CTATTATTTATCAATTTTATCTAGATGAACGCGTCATTGAGACTGTACTAATGTATATTTTTGGTCTTTAATGAAAATTTAGTCGATTGCTGAATTTGAGCATGGGCCCAAATAAGGGGCATTTAGGCCGACATTACATCCATTTCCCCTACTAAAACGAACATCAAAATTATGCAGAACTGCACCACAATCATCTACATCTGCTCGAAATATTGACTTCACTCCACCTAACTAATTGATTCTAAATCAGGAAATTTGAGCTCACTTGGATGAGATCTCCTACTGCATGAAAGAAGTTTATATGAGAACTTACTATGGGAAATGGGAAATGTCTGGTCTTCTCGGCACCAGAATGGTTTACGGGTAAACTTGCTATCTGTATTCATTTTTTCAACTTCGACTTTACTGGAGATAACATTTTGATGGAATTCTAAGGATGCTTTTAAAGGAACTTCTAGAGAAATATTCCAAGGGATAGTACTGATGATAGTTTTAAAGGATTATTGAGGAGCGAAAATTTAGAGGATGATTCAAAAAGCACATCAATTATTTTGCGTAAGAAAACGGAGCGTTTCTGTGGTGGGAAGAAAATGATTTCCCTATCACAGATTACAAATTTCAGCACCTAACACTGAAAAATCCGTACGGTACATTATTTATGCTTTAAGATTAGCATTACAAGTCCCTCTTTTCAAAGCTTGAGACAAAGCTGAAACAATTAATCAAAGCAAAAAAAACGCGGTTATTGGCGTAATTTCGTCGAGGACCTCTCACGAGAAACCTCAATGAATACCTAGTGGAGGGTGGCTCGTAACATGCGTAACCGCTCATCTTCTAATGAGAGTGAAGAATACTCCAACCGATGGATATTCGATTTCGCTAAAAAGGTCTGTCCGGACTCAGTTCCAGCACAACACATTCTTCGAGAAGTGTCTCCGAGCGGCAGCTCTCTGGCTAGACCATTCACAATGCTGGAATTCTCTATGGCTCTTCTTTCATCGAACAACTTCTCACCGCGATATGATTAAATTCAATCTTCTGAAAAATCTCCCAGACATCGCTAAAAGACGCTTGCTAGACTTATTCAATTCCTTATTAGAAAATAACATTATACCGCCTGAATGAAGACAGGTCAAAGTAATAGCCATTCGAAAACCTGGCAAACCAGCGTCTGACCATAGCTCATACCGTCCGATTGCGATGCTTTCGTGCATTAGAAAATTGTTGGAGAAAATGGTCCTTCGGAGACTCGATCAGTGGGTCGAAGCCAATAATTTGCTATCAAATACACAGTTTTGGCTCCCGCAAGAGCAAAGATATTCAACTGGCCTTTGCACACAAGGAGCGATTGGCTTCAGTATTATTGGACATTAAGGGGGCTTTTGATTCAGTTTCCATTGAAATTCTGTCAGACAATCTGCACAGATGTGGACTTTCCGGAATTTTAAATAATTTCTTGTACAATTTGTTGTCAGAAAAGCAAATGAACTTTTCCCTTGGACAACTCACAACTTCCAGAATTAGCTACATGGGCCTGCCCAAGGCTCATGTCTCAGCCCTCTTCTTTATAACTTTTATGTCAAAGATATCGACAACTGTTTGGCAGAACAATGCACGCTAAGACAACTTGCAGATGACGGTGTGGTTTCCGTAAGAGGTCCACATGCCGTGGACTTGCAAGGACCATTGCAAAGTTCCTTAGATAACTTGTCTTCTTGGGCTAGGAATCTAGGGATCGAATTCTCGCCACAGAAAAACTTTGATTTCCAACATGCCCGCAGACCATTACTTCATCTTCTCGGATAGTGTCAGTTCGATTGAGGCACTCATCTTATTTCCTTTCAAAGGTAAGGGAGCAGATGAGTGTGCTGGTCGAAAGATCACATATGATTACCTTTGTATGGGTCCCCTTACATTGCTCAATCCCAGACAATGAGAAGGCGGACTCTCTCGCAAAGGTGGGCGCGCAGGAAGGCGAATTTTATGACAGGCAATTTTCACACTATGATTTTTACCATTTAGTTCGAGTTGGCAAACAGATTGTGAGAATGGAAATCTTGGACGGTGGTTACATTCAATTATTCCTAATGTTTCTTCGAGAGCGTGTTTTAAAGGCTTGGACTTAAGTCGTGACTTCATTCACGTGATGAGTAGACTTATGTCCAACCACTACTCGCTAGATGCTCATCTCAATAGAATGAACCTCGTAGACAGCAACATCTGTCGGTGTGGAAACGGTTACGATGACATCGATCACGCAGTTTGGCAATGTACGGATAATGACGCCGCTGGAGAGCGACTTTTGAATACTCTTGAGGCCCAAGGAAGACAACCCTATGTTCCTATCAGAGACGTGTTGGGTACCCGCGATCTCTGCTATATGCAGTCGATTTATGTGTTTCTGCAAATGTCTAGTATAAGAATTTAATTCGTTTGTCTTTTGTCTCTCTTTATTAGTTTTTGTTTGTCTTGTCTCGAGGGGTCTTGATGAGTATCATCGTCGCCCACTGGTCACCAGAGCCGGTCGAACTCCAGACGAAACTAAAACCGCACTACCGTTCATACTGGCGACAACGCTCTGATGAGACAACGAAACCTTACCCCCAAGCTCCTCCCCTGATCCTATCCTTCGACAATGTACCTCTCTAACCTCGAGTAAGCCACGAGTATTCGGCCCAACTCCTACTAGACATAGAATTAAGTGAATTTTGTTACAAACAAAGAACATTGAACTATCGGCTCCGTAAAGCTAACGCGATTGAGCCTTCCAAATAAACGAACTAGTTAAAAATAAGTCCCTCTTACATGGAGATTTATGCTTTAGAACGCTTGCTATACCCCGTCCCCATCAGCAAAAAAATCTGACGAATTATAAATGAGGCGGGGCGTTCCACAGCATAATTCTCCAAGTAGGAGGGACTTACAATGCTAGTCCAAAAACTTAAATAGAGGTACCACAAGCCATAAGTTAAAACTTTTCATTTTTGTTGGCAAATAGTGTAAGGTCGCATCAAGCAACCCATTTTGAAATTCCTGAAAAATTAAATGGTAGATATGCTCTAGCTACTTAAAAAAAAAAACATCGGTGAAGTAGCATCAAAGGCACATGTTGAGTGGTACCTATGATTACCATAAAAGTTTGTAATTTAGTTGTCCTTTAGCATACTTCTTTTTCAAGCAATATGGTCACCCAAGTAAACCCATTTTTGCATAACAAAGAGGTATACCTCAAATTAAGAGCAGTAAAAATCTTTGGACTGTTTATTACTTGATTGGATATTAGATATAATGAATGAAACACACTCGATTCTGTTTAATGGATTTCAAAAGATTCATAAAATTAAAGCAATACAGAAATGCAGAAGGTTTTTTAAACCCAAATGTTCAAACAATGGGATAATTAACAGATTTGTAATCTTTGATAGGGAAATCACTTTTTTGCAGCCATAGAAACACTCCGTTTTCCCTGTCGTTTTCGCAAAATGATGGATTTGCGTTCACAAACAGCACGAAATATTTAAAAAAGCAATATATAGTTAAATGTTTTCACTTAATCGATAGGTAAAAGAAGTACCGATAATTAATTGGAGGCATTTCAAGCTGAAATCACGAGATATTCACAATCAAGTAAAAAAAATGTCTTGATAACAGATCCTAGCAACAGCGAGATTGCCCCGTTGACAGCATTGGTGCCTAATTATTCTGGACCCCTTTTGACTGTAACAATTAATTTGAGGGTCACCAGATAAAACAACAAACGGCCCTACTTTAAGCTTCCGTTCGTGCCCCAAGGCACATACTCTTCTACTTTTTTTTAAAACGTGCCAAAGGAAATTTTAGAGATAATTTCAAAATTATTATGAATTCTAAGAATAGCCCCATGACATTTAAAAATATTTTAATTTACAAATAAGTAATTCAAGCTTTACACTTAAAGCATCTAGAAGTCGAAATCCGCTGAGGAGTGATTAAATGGTATCAATTGCAATGTTTTAGGGTCGGGAACGTATGTGTTAAGGATAGCCCAGATGATTTATTTCAATTTAAAACAAATAAACCCAAACCACATATGTAAATATGGGCCACGTAAGCGTTAATGCACTGAAGGATAGGAATACTGTAGCTATGGCACTGACGTAGTTTTTTCTTGAATACATAACGCATACATATCCTGTGACTCGATTCTTCGAACACATGCCAACTCACAAGGAATTACACATCCTTTTCATTTTTCGAGAAGCCATGCACCCATGTTTGGATCATCTGTTTTTGATTAAAGCGCTCTTCACCATCTACTTCAGAAAGCCCCCCGGACGTCTACTCCGTTCGAACAGCATCCAAATTCTCAAAGAGCAAACTATGACGTCAATTTTCGTAGATGATGTGGTTGAGATTATAAACGAATTAAATCGTTTCTGTACTGCATCCACCCCTTTCCGCTTTCCGTGTAATATTCCACTACGATATAAACACGTTTCGGTCTTCCGAGAGTCTACCACGACAGTTGTAGAAAAACCGACACGTAGCTGCAGGGATTCAATTACATAGAAGTGAAACACGGCCATTGCCGCTGGGCGTGGGAGGATAACAATAACACGGAAAGCACTCAAAGTTCACTCTGAGCAGGACATAGCAATCACTTTAAGCGACAGCCTTCAGTTATTTTGCAGATCATAATCAACCTCTGGATGCTTTATTACATTGCAATAGGAAATTCTACTCCAATTATGATTAATAACGTATCTTCGGGAGAAGCGTGACCAAAACAGCACGTGTCAATCGATTTACTGGAATCCCCCGAATTGAATTTCTCGACTATCCTCCATTCAATTGAGTTGATTTTTTGTATGTGATTACAAACTTGTCACTTACAGAAAATCAGCTCAATTGGTTCGAAGCCAGCTGAGAAATTAAGGTGGGTGGACGCCACCACGCTATTCGGGGGGTGCATTTGATCCATGTTAAATGTAATTTCACGTTTCCCTTTCTATTTTTTTCAGATTCCGGAGCTACTACGTCGATATCCGCCCACGGACCATGCGGATTTCCCACTCCCACTGGATATGGTGTACTTCTGTCAGCCGGAAGGTTGCGTCAGCGTGGGTCCACGAAGGACAGGGTCAGCGGTGCGGGATGCCACGTCGTTTGTGTTCGCCTTAACCGATAAGGATTCGAGTAAAACACGATATGGAATATGCGTTAATTTCTACCGCCCTGTGGAGAAATATGTTCCAGGAGTTGGTGGGGCGGGTAACCTATCCAGTGGCCGGAAAGGACGTAATTCGACATTTCGAAGAGAATCTTGGAGGAAAAGCATGGAGAAAAGTTCGGATTCGGCTTTTTCAAGGTGAGTTCATTTGGGAAGGGCTGGAGGAAGCAGATTTTTCTTTAAAGTTTGCCTGATTTCAGTGACTACAGAAGTAGCAATATAGCACCGAGTGACTCCTCGGATCGGGACTGCCCAAGCAGGAGGGATTCGGATCCACCAAACACAGCCTACTACGGAGGGTCTCAGCAGCAGCAAACTAGACTCGGTGTGACGGGACCGTCGGCGGATTCCGAATCGGGAGGAAGCCATTCTCCGTCACCGCGAGCATCTCGGAAACGATCGAAAATCCGAAGTCACTCCCTTACATCGCTGTGCATCCTTTCGCATCATCCGTTCTTATCAACCTTTCGGGAGTGTTTGTTCATTTTGAAAAAGCTAATCGACGCTTGCAACGATGCTTCCAGCCCGAAACGGGTCGGTGCTTCCCGCCAAAGTGGAAGGGATAGCGTGTGGAGCGTGCTGACCAGTCAGGCCACGGAATCGACGCCATCGGTTGTGCTGCACGACGTGAAGGAGATTGAAACGTGGATACTGAGGCTGCTTTCGGCACCGGTTCCCGTGCCAGGATCCACCAGGGTGGAGGTAGGTTTATACCGTACTCCGCTCGCATTGCACTGAGCTCAGGACAGGAAGTTAATCAAGTGTTGGCTGGAATTATTTAATTATGGTTCCTTTTTAGCGTTTGTAAAAAGATGACCAACAGAATTTCATAGAAATTTCCATGTTGGGCCACTATGCCGAATGCTACAAACGCAGTGTAACTAGGTTGATGCAGAAGCATTAGGCCGAATGTGAAGAGAAGTCTAAGAATATGTTTTAGCTTCCTTGGTGTTCAAAAATAGTTGAGATTCAGGATATAGGGTAGGATGGTGCAAAACGCACCGTTTAAGCAAAATTATCAATTCTCGCGTCACTTTTCAAATAGACCAATCTACATTGATCGATTCTCACATCCGGATACCTGGAACCGGTTACGGTAGTGCTCAAAAAGGACACTATCTGGATGTGGCCAGATCCTTCTGTGGGTCCATGGCATGATGTCTATTTGCTTATGGATGAAAAATCATGCATTTTGAGCCGTCGGACGGTACCAGTGCATTAGGTTTTGAAAGTGTCCTTTTGTTTCCTCTCGGAACCGGTACCAGGTAGCCTAAATGGCCAAAATGGAGATATTCTGGGCAGGGTGCCATTTTAGAAACCTTCATTTGAGGTCAAAAGATCAAGAATCGGTTCAAAAATGGATTTTTGGGAACGAGTTGCAGTTTGGGTCTTTTTCCTAATGTATTAGGAAGGTTAAACCACAGACAAACAGACATAACACATTGCATATTTATCACTGTAAAACATCGTCGCTAAAACATTACCGCCTTCTGTTGAGTACACTGTGGTGGGCAGTACGCTGAATAGATGGCGGTAGTGTGCAAACGTCAAACGCAAGGGAATTGCCTATGCGCGCCACAGGTGGCGGTACTACCAACTAAGAAACTTTTAAATTGACCGTTAAATGCTTGTTCGATGAACAACTTGCGAGTGTTATGTCTGTTTGTCTGTGGTTAAACTGTTTTAAAGCTCTGGAGTTTCCTGTATTTCTCGGAGCTTCTCTAAAGTTTTTGAAATTTCTAAGAATATATTTATACTTCTGTTCTGGGAACATTCCTGATGTATTCAAAGCTTTCCTGAAGTTTTCAAAATTGCTCTTAAGAGCTCTGAATTTCCTTGGCTTTTTTTTTCTGGACTTCCTTGAATTTCTCAGAACTTCTATAAAGCTCCTGTAATTTTCATGGGCAAATTCTGTATTTTTATCATATTGTACTTGCTCTCAGCAATCATTGATATGAACGCTTTATTTTCTATTGTATAGGTCGAAATCCTCTCGCCGGTCATCCATCAACCGCTGGCATTTGCCCTACCGGACCATACCCGTTTCACACTGGTAGACTTCCCGCTGCACCTGCCACTAGAACTGCTGGGCGTTGAAACGTGTCTCAAAGTTATGACGCTCATTCTGCTGGAGCATAAAATCATCATCCAATCACGGGACTACAACGCCCTATCGATGTCCGTGATGGCTCTGGTGAACCTAATCTACCCGTTGGAGTACATGTTTCCTGTGATCCCGTTGCTACCGACCTGTATGGGGAGTGCCGAACAGTTGCTGTTAGCTCCCACTCCGTACATCATCGGACTGCCAGCAACGTTCCTGATGTATAAGAAAAATTTCAGGTGAGTTCAAAACAAGAAATTGGTTTTCGTAACATGCTCCATAAACGTTGGAATAATGCTCCTTTACTGCGTAGCTACTCAGTTTTAATGTCCTGCCCTTTTTTCTTAGTCAGAAAAGCGGAGCGGAGCAAATTTTGCATTGGAATGAGAGAGACAACTATTACTTCTCTCCCTCTCGTACCTTCGCAAAATCTTTCCCCGCGCGTGAAATATCGCTCAGGACGGAATTTACTTTAAACCTTAGTAGCTACGCCGCTGAGAAGTATTTTTCCAAGGTTTATGGAGCATTTCATCGTTTTAATATTGCGTTTCCATAATACCCAATACTTCATTACCTACAGACTGCCGGACGACATTTGGTTGGTGGATTTAGACTCCAATCGGCTTACGCCGGCATCCGGCGAACCCGAGCAAGTTCCACCTCTTCCCGAACCAGAAGGGACGATTCTTAAAAATCATCTAAAACAGGTACTGTAGCGAGTTATATGACTGTGTTCCATCTGGATCACTCGATTACAATCACCGTCTAAATTCCATTGTGTACTCTCTCACTCTCTCTAACTAACTAATTCTTTCGGTTGAACTTTACGTTTGACTATACTGTCTACTTCTTCTTCTTATTCTTCCAAAAACATCCATCCTGTGGCACAAATATTGAAAACAAATGCGCTTCTTTCTGACCACCACCAACACAATATCACCAAACCATCGTCCTAAAATATGTGCAGGCCATGCAACTAATGGATCAGGCAGGAGTTGGTGTAAATATCACTTGTTTGCTATGTTATTTTCAAAGAATTTTGTTGAATGATTTGCTATTTTTGGTAGTAGTTATTTTTGCATTCGTTTTCGTTCACCACTTGAAATTAGCGTAGGCTGATCGATTTGAGTAATTTTTAGAAATTATTGGGTAGAAAACACAAAAGCTTGCACTCATTTGGTAGACTGTATTTAGCATTTAATCCAATTACTAAATTATGCATTTATTACTGTTAGCAACTTGCCCCTGCAATAAACTGAACCGTTTCCGAGTCAATTCATAAATATGTATGGAAACTGCAAATTTTGGCTCAGGAATGGTTAATTAACAAATTAGGAAAGCACACCCTTGAAGTTTACTTAGCAACACTTTCTTAGGTTTAAGAAATTTGATATGTAGAGGAAATGCTCTAATGTTGGCCTATGGATCTAAGATTGGGCCCATCGCTAAAAATCTGCTATTTATCAATTTTATCTAGATGAACGCGTCATTAGGACGGTACTATTGGAAATTGATCGATTGCTGAATTTATGTATGGGCCCAAATTAGGGGCATTTAGGTCGAAATTACATCCATTTCCCCTATATTAGAGATTTATTGATATTTGGATGTGTTAATGTTGGGGTGACTGGGTTCTGAAAAAACGGCTTTCTTATAAATTTTTTGGTTGATTGATTTCCGTTGATCTTGTTTTCCGTGCTGAACACCACAGCTACCGACGCCAGGGAGGCAGCTCTCACACCTGGACCCTACCTATCGACCCATCAAATCATAGACCGGGGACTAACGGCTTTACTTCCCTTCCGAAAGAAGGCGTGGTCTGAGATGTTATGCCTCAGAACATCCCGGCGGCGCCGATTGGGATTGAACCCAGGCATGCTGGGGTGAGAGGTAATCACGCTTACCACTACACCACCGGCGCCGCTAACGACTTTCTTAGACTGAAGTATTTTTAGAAGATAGGCACGGTGTCTTTGTTAGATTAAGTTTAAAACAATAAATTCGCATTCACAAAATCTTCACCATTCGAAAGAGGGAACTGTTACTTAAATTTTTCATCACTTTTTCATGCAAAATAAGGGTCAATTTGAGCATTTATTTCTATGGGTCACCTTTTTTCTAAGTCATTTTGTATAGACAAATTCTAAAAACAAAAATTTACTCCAAAAAAATATTAAGTTATACTGTCAAAATGACGAAAAAAAATCCCCTCTTTCGAATGGAAAGTACTTTAATTACATCCTGCAATTTTTTATGTTCTTTAATTACAGTCGTAATTTCATAAGTAAAAGTAAGCACATTTTGAAAACTTTTAATTTCTGTAAGTACGGGACAATAATTTTCGTATCATACATTACAACTTTTTTTTTTGACGTAGGATTACGTCTTTCGGCAACATATTGGGGGTGCAATTTAAAATAAACCAAAATGGACAGCGGGACGAAAATAGGTCAGGTTTTGACCACATATACCTCTATCAATAGCAAATGAATTTTAATTCTAAACAAGCCAAATAATTGGGAATTTATCTACCAATCTGCTAAATTGAACACTTTATTAATTTTCAATAGGTCACTATTGAAAAATACACAAACGTCCAACTGTTGCAATGGTGATCAAAATTATCACCGATTACCTGCAAACAGCGCATTCCCTAACACAGATTTAAAAATCAGCAGCAGCAGTGATTAGCGTGTGGCGTTAACATTGTTCTCCAGTACCCCACGAAAGGCAGCCTGCAAGCAGTGAGCTGCAGAGCCCACATGAGCACCCATAGAAGGAGGAAGAAGCCGCTGGATCGAAATCAGTTTCCTCGTGAGTAGCTGTGGGTCATCTATGCCAAGCGTGTCAGCCTTGCTCCAAACAATTAACAGCTCGCCAACCACACCCCAAAAAGCTCAGCATTACTCAACCATCACGACTAAACGGTCCTTTTCAGGACCACCACAAATTTGTTAAAGAGTATGTTTTGGATATTGTAAAGGATATCAATCGGATGTCAGTTCCCGCAAGCAGCTAACTATCAAAGCTCAACCTGGCTTATAGAAGGTGTTGAATTGTAGGCCTGAATGTATTGGTGCAATTCGTTTTTCACTCGGTTTTCATTTCGATTCGCACGATTCGTTTACTCAGTCACCCTTGTAGTGACGTCATAATGTTTGTTTCGATCCGCATAGGAAATTAATATGAATTATAGAATTTGTGTATCTTACCAAAATTTTTGAATGGTCTGCCACTAAATGTTGAGATAATTAATTGATTATTGAATATCACACTGTGTATACCATGAAAAAGCAGCCTGTTTGTGAGTTCCATATAACATACAGCTCGCCAGTCTTATCCGTGTTGAACACCCTAATAGATCAGCATTACTCAACCATCACGAGAAAACGGTCCTTTTCAGAACCATCATAAATTTGGTAAAGAGTATTTTTTACGTAGGATTACGTCTTTCGGCAAAAAATTGGGGGTGCAATTTCAGAAAATCAAATTCGACCGCATTATGAAAAGAGGTCAGGTGTTGATCACATACATATAACTCTGTCAATAGCAGATGGATTTTAATTCTAAACAATCCAAACGATTGGAAATTTATCTGGCAAATTGCTACCATGAACACTTTATTAATTTTCAATAAGTGAACATTATCACCGATTACCTGCAAACAGCGCATTCCCTAACATAGATTTAAAAATCGAATTCGATCCTGTCTCACTAAACGGTGCTCATTTAATCACCGTGTGTAGTGGCGTCCGGTCGACGGTGTCCGCAGCAGCAGCATCAGTAGCAGCAGTGCTTTCGGCGTGTAGCGTTGAACATCGTTATCCAGTACACCACGAAAGGCATCCTGAAATCCCCATATAGAAATTGAGAGAAGTGGGAATAATTCGCTTTCGGTGCATATTCAGGTCAAAAAAAAGTGAACGACAACCTAAAGAAATTAGTCAGGGGCTTTGTCGTTCAGTTTTTTCCCGGAAATTAATGTTAAACAAGCTACAATTAAATAAGAATGATTTTTCCCCATACAATTTTACCTGCTTTACTACCAGTCCCCAGAGAGCCAAAAAAAAATCAAATTTGAGAGAGAAATTCTCTCTCACGAGCTCAACCTCTCAACATGCGATGTATTTTGTTGACACTCGACCTTTCACAGTTTACAAAATAGAGTACCTGACACTACAAAACATATCTGGTACCTCTATATATGCATTTACTTTAACATTTGAAGTCCCTCCTTTTTTACATATTCTGCGCAAAAGATACTTTTGCCCCGCCCCATACATAAAATTCGGCGGGAAATTCTGTGAGGGGTGCGCTATTTTGTGTGCAGAATGTGTAAAAAAGGAGGGACTTCGAATAATAATCTAAATGCATATATAGAGGTACCAGACATGTTTTACACTGCAGTGTCCTCTGTGAACAATTATAGGAAAACAAATTGTGTCTAGTTTCCGATAGATGTCACCGCAAACAACAGCAGTAACATCTGATGGAACATGAATGCAGAAGCTTGACAAAATGATTAATTGCCATGTTTTTTATGACACCCAATTTGTGATTTCCTTTGATAGATTGCAAAACAGAGTAGGGTAGAGAACTACTTCGGTCTAATCGCCGATTTTGGGCCTATCGCGCAGAAAACTTCAAATAAATCCATGATTTCAGAGTTAACAAGTCAATAAGGCGTTTGGTACGATAATTTAGTTAATAAGCTACCGAATAAAGTCAATGAGAACGCGTGATATGAAGGTTTGCACCCATAATTTCCACAAACAAAAGAAGTTCTCCGACCGAATCAATTTTTTTCTTTACCCGATAGGCCGAAGTGAATTCATTGGCGTTTCAATGCGTAAGGCCGACTTTAGAATCCGTGGGCCGAGTTTGGCGTCAAGAAGCAGTGTTAGACTTATAACAATATCTAAACAATTTGTTTCTCTATATCAAATCTTACGGTACGTACAGAAAGGTAAATAAATTTGGAAGCCATCAGTAATAATAACATTCCGTTTGGTGCTAAACTGCGCTATATTAAGAAAGAAATTGACCACTTTTGGTAATATGGTCGATTTTGTTTTTTTTTTTTTAATTGCATCCCCAATATGTTGCCGAGAGACGTAATCCTATGTCAAATCTACGGTCGAATCTTGGAAACAACCTCTTACTTTTTTAACTAGTTCGTTTATTTACTTGGCTCAGTCTTATGTGACACTTTGCGGAGCCAAAAATCAGTAATGTTTGGATTTACATTTAATCAATATTCTTAATGAGAGCTCCCAGAAATGGTTCTGCAGGGGTTAAACTCCCGCTAGTACCTCTAGGCTCATATTGTGTGTTGAATGCATACAGCCAAGGGCAATACGTATACAACGATATTGAATGCGTTCCAATTTAATTAGGTGGCTTTTTCTTGCTGAGAGGAAGCAAGAAGAGCCATACTCAAGTACTGAAAGAATAGTCGTTTTATACAGTTTAATTAGGTCTTCCGGGTGAGCACCTCACCATGTCCCGGAAATTGATCGTAGCAAGTTGAACCTTTATTGAAACTTTTGTTTCAAATACGGAATGTGGGTACCCCAAGTGTATTTCAAATCAAACCAGACTCCAAGGTATTTGAAGGTTAAAGATTGAGTAATGTCTCTGCCCAAAAAATTTAGACGCAGTTGGGTTGGAAACCACTTCCTTGTAAACACTACCAAATTAGTTTTTTTTTCGGTGAAAACTCGATCCCTAAATTTCTTGCCAGAAAGACAGATTATTTAGGGAATTTTGCAATGGTCTTTGCAAGATTTCCGCACGTGGACCTCTCAGGGAAACCAAGGCATCGTCTGCAAGCTGTCTAAGCGTGAATAGATTATCTAAGCAGTTATCAATATCTTGACATAGAAATTATAAAGTAAGGGACTTAAACATGAACCTTGGGGTAAGCCCATGTAGTCAATTCTAGAAGTTGTCAGTTGACCTAGATTGATGGTCATTTGTTTTTCTGACAGCAAATTATAC